CGTTCGAGTTGAAGGCTCTTTACCTTCAACCATCTCTTGAACGCAGCCTACTTCTTGGTGACAGCCAGGTGAACCTCTTCTGTCCGGCGGAAATTTGCACCTCCAGGCGGCAGCCCTAAGTAAGTCGCTCTTAACGAGATTGTAGGCCGTTTCTACATCGGCGGTCATCATCAGGATCTGGGATCTGTTCAAACCATGTTCAAACCGATATTGTTGAAGTTCTACCCTCGTATTCGCGGAAGAGTCCGGTTTCATTCTTCTGCTACAAGGTCCTCACATGTCATTTTATTATTTACATCGCTGGATGCCAAAAACATGTGTTCAACAGTTGACGGCTCTGTACCTATTCTAAAGTGATCTTCAATTACAGAGCGTGGTAAGTCAGACGATACGATTATCAAATCAATCATCGACTTCTGTGCATAAGACTTCTCTACCAGGTGTACTGATGGATGCTTCGATGCTCGAAGAAGGTGTTCATAATAGACAATCCGTTGTTTGCACAAAATCGCAAAAACTTCATGCCGTTATTGTTGAGGTTGCTATGGCTGTTCTTTCCAGTCATGCCCTGATGCCTGCTTCAACCTACGCACTCAAACTGCTCATTAGAATGAGAGATTCCACAGTCGACACTTCGCACGGATCATCTTGTTCTTCCCTCGGAAAGGACTCTGGTTCTATTTCTAGCGCATGGACATGTAGCAAGGTCAAAGCTTTAGGGTGTTGCATCTCCAGTTGGAGGATTGGCACTCTTCCGCTGATAGGCATCTATTCAACGATTCTGTCAGCCAGGTTGGGTTCTCAGAACACTAAGACCCTCCTTGAGGCGTGTTGTGGAGTTGTCACCAGCTGCGGGGATGAATGCGAGAAGTTTGCCGAGAAACTGAGCCTCGTCAAAACTGAGGTGACGACATCAAAGAGGTCGAAAGGAAAGATTTTAAAAAGATGAACAGAGATGAGACCAACACGGCGGACCACTGTTTCATCTGCAAACTGAATAGACGGAAGCTGTAGGAAAGCCTGGAGACCTTCTGATAGCGAAAATTAGTGAAAACAGACCAAGACCACAGAAGCCCTCAACGACAGCGCAGGAGAGAGTTAGCACTATAACAGTTCGATCATCACGGCGTTGAAAAACGAAGATGACGCATTAACGTCTGACAAAGCCAAGACACGTCCATTGGTAAGAACTTCTACACTTTGCTCTTTGCGTCAAAGAAACGCGTCTCCACACTATCACTCTAATGGCCAGAAGGAAGTGTACTCCTATACTTTGTAAGGAAATTTCAACATGAAATGAACGAAGGAAGAGCCCCAGGGAGAGATTGTCTGACAACTGAAATGACTAAAACAACTGCTC